GGATGAAATAGGCAGTAGAGAGCGCCCTGCGGTCGGAACCAGAGGTTCTCGGTCTAATCCTCAGCTCCACCGTTTGCTGAGTTGTGTGACCTGGTGCACAGTTGCTTTCAGCCTTTCCTCATCTGCTAAATATGGGTCGTAGTACTCACCCTGCTTATCCTTTAGGGTTGTTGTGCCCTTAGTCAGTTCCTCTCTGTCCTTGCAGGGGTGCGAGGGTTTGCTCTGTCCACGGCAACACGCATTTGGCTTTCACGGTGGCGTGCACCGGTCTAGAAAGTTAGGGCTGGAAGCCAAGACATGCTTTGTCTGCAGAGGCAGCTTGTATCACTACATGCACAACCCACTGATGTGACCAAGTCCAGAGCCATTGTCCTCAGCTCTGGAGCTGTGCCGCAGCACACGGGGAACCCAGACCTTCCTGGCAGAGACCTTCAGTGGGCACTGGAGGCCATTCTGTGAGTCATCGCTCTGGAGTTTTCTCATGACCACTGATCACCCTGGAAGCCGGCCCGGTGGCCACAGCCGGGGGTGGCGCCGATGCAGCTCCATGGCAGGTGGCATCTGCAGAGCCGCTGTCCCCTGGAGTTTCCCCTCGGTGTCCCTCCCACTCTCGTGAGCTCTCCCTCAGCACGCTGCTCCAATTGGGATGGAAAATATGTTTTAAGGGATTCATTAAAACCTATCCATTTTATGTTTACTCATATTCTTTACTATCTGTGGTCCTTTAACAGTCTTAGGGAATATATAAATTGTTCCTGGTATCTGAAAAATGGGGAAAGTCCAGAGACTCATAGTAGCAGATGGTCTTGTTCCTCTTCTCTCACTCGCCTTCTGAGCCGACACAGGGCTACACTCGTTTTCTTTTTATCCAGGGGCTGAATTGCCCCATCCATCCAAGGAGCTTGGGTATGTGGATATGGATTCTTCCACTCAACACTGGTCTTCAGCCAACATTTCTTGAGAACACACACCCCTCCCAGCCTCCCTTCCACCCCCTCTCTGCTAGGGAGCCTCTTCTTCCTCTTCCCACCCCAACAAATCATCTTCATCCGCTCTCTCAGGACTTCTGGAAGGGAGGCTTTCCCTTTTCCACTGGAGCAAACTCACTTGCCAGGTTTTGAAACTGGTGAGTGCCTCAAAAGCAGATAGTTGTCCCCCTGTGGCTCTCTTGCCTGTGTTTCTGTCTTCACGGGGCAAGAAGACCACCTTGTGCCTCCTTCTGGCAGACCCGGCAAGGTCTCTGCCCCCCTGCTCTAACTTCTCTGCCTCTCACTGGGTCAGTAGTAAATCAGGTGTGGGGGTCCAGGGGTCCAGGTTCACCTATAGGGGCAGGGAGGCAGTAGGAGAGGGGTGATAGGATACTGTCTCCTTCTCACAGAACAAACTGGACCCTGGGTTGGCATTCTTGCTCTTTTCCCCTGGAAATCTGATGAAGGGGGAGTGCCAGTTGTGTTGCAACATTGCCTGGGGTGGGGGAGGCTGTGGTTTGGGGCTGCCCTGAGTACAGTGACTTGAACGGAATTGACTTCTGTGGAGACCCTGGACACTATGCCCAGGAGGCCCCTGTACCCACTGTTGTGGATCTCATCTCCTTGCCCCTGAGCTGCTGTTTGGGAGCTAAGAGAGCAGCTCTGGACTAGGATGTGGCATATGGTGAGGACCACCCCCCACACCTCCGCCCCGCAGAGGTGAGCCCCGCTTGCCACGCCAGGGGCTGTGGTTGCTGCCCTACATTCCCCTAAGTGAGACTGATGCCACGTGTGCTCTCTGGTGGTCCCCTAGAGTCAGAATGTCCAGTTGAGCCTAAAAATAAAGGTACCCCAGCATCCGTGGTAGGGTCCACCTGATTATCCCTCCAGAGAGCCCCTAAAAAGCAGATACTTTTACACTCATTTGTGCAGTGCTATATGTTCCCCCCCCCCACTGGCCAGAACACTGCAGAGAAGGAGAAATGACCAATACTTGAATTTCACCCTTAGAAACCACCGTCATCCCTACTGATGATCATTGCCATCACCAAACCCCCATGACTGCACCCACAAGAATCTGTTTGTGGATTCTCACTAGTGCCTGTCACCTCCCACTCTCCTGTCTAGATCCCATATCACTCTCTTGCTCTCTCTCTCTCTTTTTTTTTTTCCATCTCCCAGCATTTTCCCCCTTGGACAGCCTCTCCTAGAAAAACACCGAACTGAGATTCCTACTCTGCCACCTGAGTCAGCTTAAGACAAATCCTTCAGTTTTAGTTTTATGATCTGAAAAATGAGAAGAATAATCCTTGTCCCCAGGGACATGCTCTGAAACTGAATTAGCTCCTATTATTAATGTAATCAATGAAATGATAGAGCAGTCTGAGCTCCTTGAAGGTGAGATGGTCCAACTGTCAATATATCTGACCACTCCTGGATGGCACAAAAGCAATTAGGGTCCCTGTGCATTACCCTCCCATCCAACGACTATCTCCAAGAAGTCCCTGGCTTGTCACAGCAGAATGGACAGACTATGCTGTGGCTTTGCATCCTGGGCTGTTAGGTTTTCCTAAAGTAGGGAAGAAAGGAAAACAGTGTGAAAACTCTCAATATTCAGCTCACTCTTCTTCTACCACACATTGAAGAACTGAGTGCCCTGCGTGTTTAAGAAAAAGAATGAGAGAGACAGAAGTGGGCCAGGGAGGAGGCAGACAGATAGAAAGAGCCAAGTAAGAGACAGAGAAGGAGAGTGGCACCAAGCTCTGCTCAGAGGGGGCTCCGTGAGCAGGAAAGATCAGGGCGCCAGGCAGGCCAGGGCAGGAGTGCTGGTGGCTCAGAGCCATAGGAAGGGCCTGGAAGTGGGCCCAGATGCACTCACAGTCACAGGTGGCATCTTTAGACATCCCAAAAGTCATACTATGGGACTCCTGCTATCTGATGCAAGAGGGCTCGTGGACAGGGCGCTGGACTCTGAGTCAGGAGACCTTGCTTCTAAATCCAGCCAAGAACCCTGAGCAAACTCCTTCCCTTCTCTGAGCCCTGTTTTCCTAGCTGCAAAACAAGGGGGTTGTACTGGTCAATCACATGGACTCTTCTGTGCTCTACTCAGTCTTCGAATTTGTGGCGTTATCAGCAGGGGATGGTGTTTACGCTCCTCTCTCTTGCCCACGCTCCCTCCCAGGAAGGAGGAGGAAACCTCCCCATCCCATCACCCTGTTGACGTTGGGCTTACTGGTGGCTTGCATTGGCCAGTGGGCTGTGGGCAGAAGGGACAGGTGCCAGCTCTGAGCAGAGCTTTGAGAGGCATTGCAAGTTTCCACCAGCCCACTTGTGCTCCTGCACTTGGCTAGGAGAAGAACCCGCCCTGCTAGTCCCTGCTCCTTTAGCTTAAGCGCCAGCATGAAGGGACACTTGGAGCAGGTCTGAACCCAGGGCACAGCCAGAAGCTAAGCCCAGCCACACCCAGCAGAACCACAGCCATCTCACAAATCCCCAGTGGGAAGTAAATGTTTGTTGTCATACACTGCGATTTTGGAATTGCTTGTTATTGCAGCCAACACTGACTAATACACCCTGTGATGGGAAAGCATTATCTCAGCGAAGCACACGTCAGGGGCTGAGCTTAAGCCTGCCTGAAGGAGAACGAAGGGCAGCTGGAGGGGCCCCTACAGGAAGGCCCTCCTCTGTTTTCCCCTCCATGCCAGAGCTGCTGCAAACCTCCATATGGAGACCCACCTGGCTTTTGGCATCAACAATGCAGGGCTCGGCAGGGTAGGAAGAGAGTTTGGTGGGAGGGGGAGGTAAATTAGAATGCATCAATGTCAAGTTCCTCCCCACTCACAGTCTTCCAAACCTCGGCTGTCTTGTTTCTCTCACCACCTAGGTGCCATAATTAAAAGGCTCTTGAACTTGGAGTTGATAGATTGGTTTTGCTAGCATGGAGAAGCAGCAAGATGGCTGAGGCACGCTTACGAGCTCCAGCATCCCTGGTCTCTGGCTGCTGCAACCCGTACACAAGTCTCCAGGCCCTTCTAATTCCTAATATTAAAGGACCCTAAAGAAATTCACATTGACATTATCTCAGCCAAATTCTAGCTAAAAGATATTTTCTTGCCAAACAGAGCAGTGTCACATATTTAATACAAGGCACATACTAATGCCCAGAGAAGACAACTGTGGAACTCTAAGGCTCCCAGTTCTGCGACCTAGAGGACACGATGAGAGTCCCAGGTTAGGACACGTGGCCAGTGCGTAAGCACGCTTCGTTTCACCCGGAGAACCCAGGCCACTCCTCGGCCCTCAGTCGCTTCGACCAAACCTTCAGAGTCAACAACCATGATCATATGCTGGGAGAATAAAAAGACCCAGCCCTCTACCACCCGCCCCAGCATGGTAGTAGAGAGGAGGCTTATAGACTTGCGAACGGAGTCAGGGAAAAAGCAGGAACTAAACTTTTTTCTAAAACACTGAAGCCACGAGAGTACAGAAGTCCAGGGTGAAGCAGGGGGCGCGTTCCACTTCCTACTCCCAAAGGGCCCCCTGGAGCTGTGCCCAGAGAAACCTGGGCATTGGCCTAGGCTTACAGAAAGCCAGACGAAAGGGAGGGCAGATGCCATCGTGGCTGTTTCTAGGCACTTTGCTGTGAAGAGAACGGAATTGAGTGTACAGGCATCCGGTGTCGTGCTGGGCAGCTCGGGGTACACAGTGGCGATGAGGCCTTGTGCACCTGCTGGAGGCATACAGCCCGACCACCTGACCCTCCCCAAATCTCCCTGGAGGCAAGCCTCCTCGTTATCTTCAGCTAGACGAGACAGACTTGCTCGGGAAGATTTAGATCTTCCTTCTTGGCCCTGCCTCCCCCTCTTTCCCACAGGCCCCTCCCATCTAAGCCACTGGCCTCTCCCCAGCTCACAGGTGTCAAGCTGGGTGCCACACCTGCTCTGGCCTCCCGCACACAGGGATCCGGAGGGATCTGCACATGGCATTGCCGCGTGGCCCCCCACACCCCAAGGAGACACGACCCAGACCCACCTATGCACACCACGTCCATGAAGCCGTACATCCCATAGCAGATCTGGAAGAGAAGATCTTGGCGCTGCCACTTTGCCGAGGGACTGAAGGTCGACCAGATGAGCCAAGAGATGCTGGCGATGAGGAAGAGGGAACCCAGGATGGCGGCTGCGATCTGAACCTTCTCGATGACCGTCAGAGAGATGGCCTGCCACTGGGAAGACAGGGGGCGGGTCAACTACTGCTCCGACGCCCTCACCCCGTCCCCACCCCTCTTTCTTCTGCTGCTCCAATGGCTCACCTCTGATTTGGCATTTAAAGCAGGGCTTTCCGACTTGTAGTACAATGGACATTTTTTGTGGGTTTCTGAGGTTCACGTTGAACCCTTTGATCACACCAAGTGATCGTAATTCATTGTAAGGCAGAAACTCTGGGCAGGCATGGCTGGGAAAGAGGACCCCTATGCTTGATAATGAATATAAACAGAGAAACGGAGGGAGACATGAAAATGCAGAGCTAGTATGGGTGGTGTTCCAGGGCCTCAGAATATTCTTCTCAGAACAATATGGTCTATTTTCTCACTAATAGGTTCTGAGAGAGCACGGGCCTTCCCTCCCCCCCACCTTTGGCTTATTTTCTGCAATCACACTTTGCATGCAATGTAATTTATATGTGCTGGAGATTGTCAGTTCAACAGATAAAGAGAGGACACAGGATAAGAAAAACAGCTTAGAATTTACTGAATGTATACCAACACTGGTATTTCATTTTTTAACAGAAAAAGCACTGTACTTATGGCAGTATTGATGGATGGGTTAAAGGCTGGGATGTGGGTGAGTTTCAACTCTGTCATTTGTAATTCTGTGATTCTATGGCTGGTCTGGGCAGCACGGGCCTAAATGGGCCAGGAGTTGGATTCTAACTTGGGGCTTATGCACACATTTACTCATGGATTGGGTACTCTCTATGTGCTGCCCACTATGCCAGGGGCTGGGGATTAGGCACAAGGCAAAGGCAGACAAGGTCCTTGCCCTTATGGTGCTTACAGTCTAGGGAACTTAGACAACCAAATATTTTACAACTATAGTTCATCAGGGTAAGAAATGAAGGAACATGACACAGTGAGAGCCTGTGATAGTGGGATCTGACTTCCCAGAGGAAGTGAAGCTTGAGTTGAGTAGGCATTTACTGGGCAAAGAAAGCAGGAAAGAGGGCTCCAGGCAGCAGGAAGAGCATGTGCAAAGGCCCTGTGGCAGAAGAAAGCGTGGTGAGTATGAAAACCTGGAAGAAGATCAGAGAGGGTGGAGTGGAGAGAGCAAAAGAGTTTGTGGGATGAAACAACTGGAAAAGGAAGGAGGGGAGACCATCCTGAATCTTGTAGAATAGGCACAGATTTTGGACTTTGTCCTAAGAGTAAACATGATGCCGTGAATGGTTTTAAGCAGGGATCTGACAGGATCAGATTTGGGCAGGTGGGGGGAAAGACATCCTCTGACTGGAGAGGTGTGCAGAGAACACCCCCAGAAAGCATTTCAGCCTGAACTTGGAGCAAAGGCAGGCTACCGCCCACCTGCCAACAGGGAGCCCCTCACTACGTGTTGGCTGGATGGAAGCACTCATTCTGGCTCCCGCTGGAGCCAGGAATTGTAACCATTGGAAAGCGAGTCGCTTGTTGGTCCAGATGTAGGATATCAGCCTTTGCATGTTAGTATACAGATGGATCCCATGACAGGTAATTGGGCCTTTACATTTTCCATCGCTTGTCCCAGACTAGGGTTACACATAACAAATTTTCCAGAAGGTGGCCTGATTGTAAGGCTTCTCTCATGTACAAGAAATGCTTTTCCTAGGAAAAGCACTTCCCAGAAGGAGAGCTTCTGACTGAGCTTTTGGTTTCTACCATGAGACATAAATAACCCTCACCTTCTCCTGCTCCTCTGGACTTCAAAAATCCCAAGTGCAGAGGCACAGAAAAGTCCCCTTCATCCCTAGAGCTCCTGCCACCATCCCCCAAGCCACCTGTGGAATGCAAATGGGGCTCCTGACCCAGTGCGAGGCATCATGACGAGGGATCAGGGTAGGGGGGCTGTGGACGAGCCCCTCTCCTCCTGTCTGCATCGTGTGGGGCTCCACAGAGATGTGGGGCAGGAGCCGAAAGGAGAAAGCAGAGAACGAGTGAGCTCTGAAATCGCAGAGGAGGGCTGGGCAGGGGAGAAGCACGCCCGTGGTGCCGGGCTGTGCTGCCACCAGCCACCCAGAAAGCTGGAACCTCATTCCAAGCGAGATCCTGATCTCAGTATCGTTAGATGTCCTCTGAGCTTCTGTCCTGCAGCACCAACGATTGGACAAGGCAGAAGAGCACAAGACTGGATGTTTCCTTCCTTGTAACAGGGAGGGGTGCCGAGCAAGGGGTCAGAGGACAGGAGTCTAGTCGAGCTCTGCTCCTACTTGTTGAGTGTGAACCTGCAGAAGTCAATAAATCAGGAGGACCGTCCATTTTTCCTTCCATAAAACCAGAAATAATTGGTCCTTCCTACTTCCCAGTATTGAGAGGGTTACATGAAATAACTCTTAAACCAGTGCTTCGAAGGGATTTCTTTACTGTGTTTGCTGTAAAAATACAGATAAGCATGTCAAGGCATGGTCTTCCCAAACACGCCTGCGCACCACAGGTAGAAGGTAAGAGCCTGGACCCAGGAGTCAAACGCGCTGGGTGCCACTTAAGAGCTGTGCGACCGTGACACATGGCTGAACCCTCTGCACCTCCACTGTCTCATCTGTAAGTTAAGACTAACAGTAGTACCCATGTCACCAGGTTGTTTTCAAGATGAAATTAGATAATATGTGTGAACATTTAGAACACCGCCTGGCACCTAATAATCACGGACTAAATGGTCATTAATGTGACTGCAGTTCAGAGGCAGCAAAGGGAGGCAGGAAGCAGCCATGCAGCCTCGAGCCCCACAGGGCCGTGCTGGCACTCCCCTCTCAGTGGCTCTTCTGGCTAGAAACGCTGCTTCCAGAACCTCACTGAGATGACGTCCCATAGTGGGCAGCTGTGTGATGTCTCACGACTTTGTATGGGGCGTGACCCAGGAGGTGAGAGACCCACAAGCCATGGAAGGAACCACCTCTCTCTGACAGAGGGGGCAGCGCTGTGGTCCCCACCCAGTGCTCCACCCGCTTGCGGTGGCACCTGCCAGTGGCACCCTGTACCGCAGACGGTCTGGCTGGCGGGGCCGTGGGAGCAGGAGCTGCCCACAGAGGACGGGCAGGCAGCTGTCTGACACTTGGCTGGGCACGAAGAGCTCCAGACATACAATTGGGACAATGTGGGCCACGACCACACAGCACTGCATCTAGTCCCAACTACTTCCTTCATCTGGTCCTGTCCAGAAGGGAAATGGCATTTCCTGAGCACACAGCACCGCATTTCTAGGAGCAACAGAGTTGGAGGGAGTCCCAGTGTCTAGAAACTCGCAGTTGAAGACAGGGGAGAAACTGAAGAATAGACCAGTAGACCAATATTACCACTTACTTACCTGACTTATAAGATTAGAGTAAACTTTTCTTTTTTTACCCTCAGCAAAAAGTTATCCCTAAATGGTTTTTCACTTTATGAGCCACGGGTGTAGCCAAGGGTGGGTACTTTGGGGTGGGCTCATGGGTTCAGAATCTGACCCTTTCTTGAGGCTTGCGCCCGCAGACAAGGAAGGAAGGGTTAATGCATTCAGACCTCTGCTCAAGCCCAGAGGCCGTGGAATCAGCTGTCTCGTGACACTGCTATTTTAAGACACTTCAAGATTTTGAAGCGAATTGAAGATGGAACCAGCAGCGGGGAAAGGCACTTCTTATTCCGTCCCTTTGCACACTATCAAGATGGCTAAGTCACCTGGGGCTTTTGCTGCCACCTTCCGGGAGCACTTCCTACCCCCAGCCCACTTGCACACGCACAAACACACACACTCGTTCCTGGACGTACCCCGTGTGAAACTCCATAGGGTCTAAAATAGAACACGTTGGACATGCAGCTGCAGGGGTTTCCCATGGCCCCGCCATGCAAAGGCCCCACCCACCGTCACCACCACACCACCCACCCTCCTGGGCTTGCAGATTGGACTCTGCCGGTCCCCCTCAGCGAGGAGGAGGGAAACTGCCGGGCAGCTGAAGTCCCACTTCACTACGATAGTGGCTAGTTGATTATGTGGCAGCTTAACTGGCTGATGATGTGTATGTGGCGGTATTTTCAGAAGGAAAATGCTCTGTGTGTGTGTGTGTGTGTGTGTGTGTGTGTGTGCACCTTGCAGGGAGAGCTGTTGAATTTGGGGGCATTTATGGGGGAACGATGGGTGTGTCAGGGCAGGCTGGGATGGGGGCAGGGGGAGCCCTAAGTTCTGTCTGAATCTGTTTAGCAGACCTCACCCGACCCTGGCCTTTTCGTAGTAGCCTTTTCTTTTCCTTCTTGCCCGTTTCCTCGTTATTCTCTGCCTCCCTGTCCTGTCCCTTCTCCGCTTTTCTCACTATCTTCTGTCACTGCAAGTGATGGAGCAGATCACCTGATAGCTTGTTAGCAATGCGGAGTCTCAGGCTCCTCCCGGACCTATTGACCATAGTCTGCACTGGCCAAGATTCCAGGTGAATTACACAAGTGTTAACATTTGAGAAGTGCTTCTGCGTCCCCTCTTTTTACTGTCTTCTGCAGTCCTCAGCTTTGGCTCCTCGCCCCGCCCACTTCTGTCTTTTGGTGTCCTGTTCTCTTCTGCCCTCTGGCCTTTCTTTTCCTCTCTTCTTTTCTTTTTCTTGCTCCCTCCCTCCATCTATCCTTTCTTCCTGTCTCTTTCTTTTTTCCTTTCCTTTCCCTTCTTCTTCCTTTCCTTTCCTCATCCCTTCATTCATCCATTTGCTTACTTTCCCTCTGCCACCTGGGTCTCCGCACTTCTTTCCTTCTGTGTCTATTTCTGTCGTTGACCCATCCCTTCCTCTTATTCTTGCTGAGGCCTAAGAGAAAACACAGGCGTCCTTGCACGCCCTCCCGTCCGCAGGCCGCCCCCAGCCCGGACAGTGCGGGGTCCCCAGTGCCCAGGCCTGGCAGTACCTGCAGGGGGTTCTTTGTGCTCATGGCGACGACGTGGTACTTGTAGTAGCACAGCTCGCAGCTCCAGCAGCCCCGCTCGCTGATCCACTTGATGAGGCAGGGTTGGTGCGTGCACTTGACCGAGCCGTCGCAGCGGCAGGGGCTCAGCAGCTCCCCCTGCAGGGAGAGAGGCACAGGGGTGAGGCCAAGCAGAGTCCAATATGGAGGCGGGTTGGACCCCCCCCAGGCTAGGCGGGACAGAGCCCCCCACAACCGGGCCACAGGCTTTGTCTGGAGGCACCAGGCTACACCCAGGAGAGGAGACAAAAGGGCAGGAGTTGCTGCAGAGAAAGGGGCCAGGTGAGGAGATGCGAGAAATTTCTCAAATCCATCTCGAGAATTTGGGACTAAGATTTTTAAAGGTAGTTTGGCAAACCAAGGGCTGGGGAGCTGAACTGATAGGGTTGGGAAGCAGAAATTGTCTTCTTGGTAAACAGGAGTTCCTGGGTAGGGGGTCACAGGATGGTTGGACCAGTTCCCACTCCTGGCCACTGGTCTGGTTGACCCAGTGCAGAGTGTGGGAGATATCTCAAAGACCAGGCTTAGATTTTACAGTAGGATGTGATCTATAGAAGCTGTTGGGACGTCACCAATCTTACACCTGTCAGGGATACACGACACGTAAGCAGTAAGCAGTGACAGCAGTAGGGAAGTTAGGGAACGAGGGCTAGTTAACTTTCAGCCATAGCAATACTTCTACAGAAGTCAGACTTTTGTCACTATTCCTGCCTGATGGCCTTAGGTTATTTTAACATAGGCGATTGCAGCCTGGGCTCCAGCGCCCCCACTGTGGGAGCCAAGCCACTTCAGTCCCCTCGGCCAGCAGTTGTGAGCCCTCTGCTCCTGCTTGGTGCTCGGCAGGACGGTGCTTCCCGCACTGCTCAGGTCCTGGGGCTCGGAGAGGATGAGGGGGCTGGTTTCCGAGGAAGCCTTCGCTGTCCAAAAGGGGTGTCAGACTTCTCTGTCTAGACTCAGCCAAGGGTTGCAAACTCAAATGCCCTCAGGCAACACAGGTGACAAAAGCTAGCTGGTGGGGACTGTGGTGTATTGGAAAGCCCAGACCCAGGTTAAAGGGACAGGTTAAAAGGACAGCCAGCTGTAGATGCGGAGATCAAGTGGGGATCTTCATGTAAAATCTCCCAAAGTCAAATATTAACAATGAGTGCGGGTTTTCAAAGTAGATTGTGAGGGCCGTTTTGGCTGAGTTCAGAGCTCTGGTCTTGCGTCTTTGCAGACTCCTGTGGCTGAGGCATAGAGACCCAGCGCCTCTCTGTGCAGCCCCTGATCCCCGAGTGAGGAGAACTTGGGGACAGGCCTGAACCCCGGGGACCTAAGAGCTTGGGCAGATGCCCTCCCTGAAGGCCCTCGGCCTGGGTGGGAGTGGCTGGGAAGCACAGCCTGGAGGAACTGGAAGCAGGAAGGCAAAGGACCTGGCTAAGCTACGTGGGGTCAGGATTTGAACTCCCCAGGGAGTGGACTGCAGAGTGGGACTCGTCCTCCAGAGCACCCTGTGAGCATGTCAGCTGACCACGACTGAAGCCTGCATCTCTGCGTCCCCTGCCACGGGGGCCCCGAAGTGCCTCCGTGAGCCTCACCCACTCCCCCTCGCTCTCCTCTCTCTCATCCCCTGCTTGTCTGTTCTCTTGTCTCGTCACCCTCCTAGCAGGATCCACCACTTTTGCTCACTAGGTCCCCATCCCCCCACGTCTTCTGTTTACTTTCCCAGAGACCTTTGCCATTGGGCCCTTTGCCATTGCCATTGGGCCCTTTGCCATTGCCATTGGGCCTGTGTCCCTCTGGCCTTGCCCCGGCCTCTCCTTCCTTATCCGCTGTGCGTCCACCCCCAGCTCAGTTACCCAGCTCTTCTGCCTCCCTCCTATCAAATGCCCCATGGCATGCCATGCCCAGTCCCAATCCCTAAGCCCCACTCTGGCGGGTTTGGGAAATGGCCACTTGAGCCACGTCCCTGCTAATCTGGGGATTTCACCATTCATCAAACCACATCTTGTTCTCATCTGTAAGTAAGAAGCACCGGAGTTCCTGGCTTCGACGTCACAGATCTCTATCTGCACATTTAATCATGTTCTTTGCCACAGACTATGGGATTTGCCATTTCCTTCCAAGATTCCTGGAATCATCTTTCCCTTCCACTTCAACTTCTGTCACTCGAAGATCTCACCTTGGCCTACACGAAAGTCTAGAATATCCGGTTGCACCTGGCCCACCTGTGAACTGCTCCTCTGTCTCCTAGAGGCTCTAATGCCAGCTCCTCCAGGGAGTCATCCCTGACTTCCGCAGCTGGAGCTCAACCTTTGATCCCTGAGCGCCCTATGCTGAGCGGCTGGCCGTACCCTGCTAGACCACTCAGCACATGGTCATGAGGGTCTCTGCAGGCCTGTCCACCTCCAGAGTGGCTCCGATCACAGGAGCAAGGTGTTCTTCTTGCACCTTTCTCCGCAGGAGCTAAGCCCTACACCCTCAGCAACCTTTTGTGTCTGAATGAGTAGATGAAAAAATAAATTAAGTGACTTTCCTGCACTGCCCTGAAGAACAAGGATGAGAATGTCCACTCCATGAGAATGGGAACCACGTCCTCTTGCTGACTGTGGCACCGAGCATCCTGCCCACTGCCTGGCACTCCGCGTGTATTTGTGCAATGAGTGAACTTGGTGGCAGAAATGCTCAGGTGCTCATTCCCTTGAACCCCGCCTCCCCACTCCTCCGTTATCAACAGGCCCCCTTCACTGTGGCTCCAGCTCCTCCCTGTACCGTCTGTTTTGCATTTTCCATTTGTCTGTGGGTCATGACACTGTGACCTCTCAAAGGGACAGTGCCTTTTCCACCTTGGCGTCCCCAGCACTTGGTACAGTGCCTCGCACTGTCAGATGCTCAACCCGACTTTGACAGCTGAACGCGTGCGCATCTATCTGATGAACCAGAGGTTTTGCGTCTCTAGGCCATGGCTGGCTTCTAGCTCCAGGTGGGCAGCTGTGGCGCCTGGGAGAGGAAGAAGAGGCGGGAGGTGCACACGTTGCCGGGCACTCATCGTACCCCCCATGGCCTGAGCGCCCTTGGGGTTGAGTAGCTGCCGAGTGGCTCTGAGAAGGAAATAGGAGGGGCAAGTGAGGAGAGGTGCTGGGGGAGTGGCAAGAGCCCTCATTATTCATGGCAGCGTTTCCTAGGCTCATTAATTCTAACAGGATGAGCTGGGTTTGATTAATCGGGTTGTTAAGCAGCCATGTCACATTGCCCATCAGGTAAGAGACATTACTTCTGGTCCCTGGCAACGGTGCCAAGCGACAGTGAAGTCCCTGTGTCTTGCTTCCCAAGCAGCAGCCAAGGCAGGAGGAGCTGCCGTAACAGCAGCTGGGCTGCTGGGCGCCACCAGTAACAAGACCCGCTCTGGATGTGGGACCCCTGGGGTCCACTGGAGCCCAGCTCAGGCCCCTCAGCCAGGCCCCTCAACATGCTCACCTGGAGAGGGAAGGAGGGAGCATGCCCTGGCCTGGTCCCCTGGTCCCCTGGCCTGGCTAAGGGCCCAAGAGGCCAGGGGTGTGCTGCTTCCCCCAGAGTGACTTGTTCAGTTGCCCTCACTTTCCTTTGTCCAGCCCAAAAGGCAGAATAGGGACTTACTGCTGGCACTGCAAATGTTAGAAAGCAAGCACATGAAAACTGTTAGAAAAGTTTAACTTTGATGAAGGAAGTGATCCAGGATTTTAGGGGGAAAAACCCAGAAATAAGGTATTTTAACCCTGGCATTCAGGCAAGTTTCATATTTTATGATTTAACATATATTTAATGTACGTTTGGCAGGAGGGCCATAGAATTTAGGATTTAGGGCTTCTAAAAGGCCCTACCCTGGACTCTTCACCATCTTCTGCTGGTCAGCTCTGTGTGTCTATAAGAACAACAGAGTAGAAATGAGCCCGATGGACTTAAGTTAGACTTATCAAGATGGTCCTTGCAGTAAACTCTGTTAAAAGCTAAAAAAAAAAAAAGAAAGAAAGAAAAAGGATAGGCCTGGTGTAGTGGCTCACACCTGTAATCCTAGCACTCTGGGAGGCCAAGGTGGGAGGATTGCTTGAGGAGTTCAAGAGTTCAAGACCAGCCTGAGCAAAAGTGAGACCCCCATCTCTACAAAAAATAGAAAAATTAGGCCAGGTGCAGTGGCTCATACCTATAATCCTAGCACTCTGGGAGGCTGCATTTTGTGCGCGTGATGTCATTTAATCATGCTTGAGGATTGCTTGAGGTCAGGAATTCAAGACCAGCCTGAGCAAGAGCGAGACCCCAACTCTACCGAAAAAATTAGCTGGGTGCAGTGGTGCATGTCTGTAGTCCTAGCTACTTGGGAGGCTGAGGCAGAAGGATACCTGGAGCCCAGGAGTTTGTGGTTGCTGTGAGCTGGGCTGATGCCACTGCACTCCAGCCTGGGTGACAGAACAAGACTCTGTCTCAAAAATTAGAAAAAAGCTAAAATGATGCAACATAGAAACTGAGCTGGATCCTCACCTCCTTTACCCTAGTAAAAATCTCTCACCATGGCAGCGATCTCTATTGAAGAGAAAGGTTAAATGACTAACTCAAGGTCACATAGCCATCAGACTTCAAGCCTCACCACACCTCTCTGGCCGTCCTCCTTCTGGCCCCAGTTCCTGCTGTCCCGCCTACACCTGTCCTGACAAGTCTCTTCTCTGTCTGCCCCTCTCCAGACCCCACCCAATTCCTGGCCCAGCTCGGGAACCACAGCCCAGTCTCCCATCATCCCCACAGTCCAGCACTTAGTCATTTTCAACTCCTCTGGGAGCCAGGCTGCTCCCGCATACCCATAGAACTGAGTGCATTGCAGACACACGTGGACAGGCACCAGGGCGTGGGAAAGGACACTCCCCACCCCCCACTCCCCCCAGCCCCCATCCAGCTTCCCAGGCCCCAGCATTTGGGCTGGGAGGATTAACATGATCTTGTCTGCTGGAGCTCAGCAAACTCACAGATCAAAGGGGCTCATTAATGCGAAGAGCGCCAGATACTTCCTCAATGATCTTCTCAGAGCTTTGGGGCCAGAGACTGTCCCTGGAATGACTAAAACAAGAGAAATGGGGGCTTCCCTAATCCCC